AGAGAGAGAGAGAGAGAGAGAGAGAGAGAGAGAGAGAGAGAGAGGCGGAAAGTGTGCGATGAGCTTCTTCTTCTATCCCTCTGAGCCATTTTGATTCTTCTTCTTTCCTTTTGAGCCATTTTGGTATTCGGCGCGAGTCGCCCCCCTTTTTCCCTTCTGGATCGGCATTCAGACTTGTCATTTGCTCTTTTCTGTTGACGTGTATGTTTTCATTTGCTCTCTTTAGGTGTTGATGAATGGTTGTCTTCTTCCCCTCCCTTTCTCTGTCCTCTTAGATTGATGGGTCTAATTGATTGATCCCCGACGATTGGACCTTGCATGATTTCGGACCAATGTGCCAAAAAGGCATTGCATGAACCTCGATTCAAAACTAAATGCATGGATGATAGGCGCGGTTCTGTCTATGTATGAATATGATAGGTATGATAGACTATTAGATGACCGTCTCACTATAGGATGATGCCGTGGTGCTCTTCTTCTATCCCTTTGAACAATTTCAGTATCTGGCGCAAGTCGCCTTTGCTTTCTTTGATCGGCATCTCATATTTTTTCTTCATTTGTCTCTAACGACTGATGACTAATTGCTTCCCACACCCCCTCCCCCCCCATGTTGAACAACAGCACAAATTCCTTCTCACATTCCCCCCTTCAGAAGACCTGCACGTTTGTGTCCACGCCACAGTCTGCTGCGTCCACTCTGCGTCGACCCAAAGCACGGGAAACTGCAAAACCGCAAAGCCTTTCTCCCCCCCCCCCTCCCTCCCCCCTCAGTCCGAAGGCACACGAACCCCACTGCCTCGCCCTCTCACCCGTTTTCCCCTGCCCCTTCCTCCCCAAAAGGAAACCTACGCCGCCTGCAGGACGCCGACTGCCGTTGTGCCGTGAACGACCTCCGTTCCCTGCACCGGTCCTGCGACATCTAAGCACTCCCGCAACCACCATCTCCACGTGTCGTTTTGACCTCAGGCTCCCTGACCGCACCCTTCCACGGCACCTGTCGACACCCTAATGACCGTCATCTACCTTCCCGAAAAAGCACTGCACTACACGACAATTAAAAACAGCTACCGGCGTATCCTTTGGGCCTCCCCACCCCACTTTTGAAACAGGGAAATTTTCAAGAGCTGTCAGACGTTCTCAAGAGTTGGGTTTTCAAGAGTTTTCGGCCCCTCGCCACACAGCACTCTCGAAGGATGAAGAAAGACAGTCATACAGCTTTGTCTTTTTCGAATGGTGTCAGGATAACGGCCTGACAACTCTTGAAAATCGGAAGTCCCTCAAGGGTTCGGCCAAGGACGCTTGACAACGCACTAGTTGCAGGCTGGGGTTTCCAATCTTTCAAGAGTTGCTCTTGAAAGGGTTTCCAGAGCCACTCTGACTGCTCTCGACCGCCCCAAGTTTCAAGAGGCTGTGTGGCGATGCAGCAACTCTTGAAAATGATTTTTCAAGAGTTACATTCTAGCGGAAGATTCACTCTCGTTCTGCACATTTCGAGAGTAGTGCGGCGAGGCCCTTCGACTGCGAACTTGGCCTTGTGGACAGAGAAGATTAGCATGGCCCCTGCGCAAGGATGTCACGCATAAATCGAGAAATGGTCCAAGAACAATTCTCAGTTCGGAAGCGGGGACTCCAGCCAGGCTCCGAAAACAGGCCCGGCGCAGGTTTGGTCAGGGTGCAAATGGGAAGCGGTCTCCCAACCAGATGGTTCATAACAGGAGTCAAGTGGCATGGCGAGGCGATTACTATCTTCGTCTCCCGAACACAATGCACGAGATCAGAAAGATAGCTTGCATACATTCATAATCAGGCTGCGTTATGTTCGGGGGACGCGCGCCCCTCGCGCAAAAGATGACACGGTAAGGCGTGGTGGAGTTTGAAACCGGAACCTGACCAACTCTGTCCGCTATCCGCGGGCGCTTGTGGAGAGTTTCTGGCATAGCCGCGAGGTAGTTTCCCCAGGCTAGAGGGAGAGTTGGCCGCCGGCCGGCCGATGGACCCGTCGTCGATCAACAGGGCAGCAGCTCCTTTCCTCAATCAATCAACAAGGCGACAGCGATGGCGGCGGCCATGATGACGGCGATGGGGGTGGCCACTTCCGGTGTGTGCGAAGGCGGAGGGAGACGATTGTTCGCGCTCTCTTCCTCCGCCAATGAGCGTGCCGCTGTCGACAGGTGCGGCGGCGCATCTGCGCCTGGGGTCTGCGAAAGGGCTCCATCGTCCCGATCTTTGGTTGCGTCGGGATCGCGGCCCATTTGTCCTAGCTCCCGCTTCAGTCCCTTCGTGCTGTCCAAGCTGTGCCCGCGAACGCGCTCGGCGCAGTGGCCTGCCATGGCCGTCCGACAAGGCATGTCTCCTTCACGCGCTTCCGCGACGAGCGCGCAGCGGCGGCGCCCTTTCGCGCACTCGCCATTCGGCTCCGCCGATCACCATCATCAAGGTCGCCATCTTCATCGAAGCAAGGGCTTCTTTATCTTGCGAGACGTAGATCGAGGGGTAGGGCTGAGATCCCGACAACCCGGCACTCAGATGGATCTTCGTCGGCTTGGCGTTCAATTAGGTCAGAAACGATTTGCAGGCCAGCTGTCAGAAAATGTGCCAGAGGAGAAGACTGCTGCCGCGGAACCTGTCCGCTTGGACGGCCTTTCGGCGGCGGCGGTTATGACGGCCCACGTCGAGATACCGACACCGGAGGGTGATGCGCAAGGCGAGGTTGCTGTTCCGCCGAATGGCACTGCGGGAGCAGATGCGGTCGAGGAGAAGCGGCAGCGTAGGTGTGTGAAGGGTCAGCTGCGCAATGGGACCAGTGGGACACCTGGGAAGCGCCGAGGAAGGAGAAAGAAAGAGGAGGAGATAGTAAGTGACAGTGTGCATGAGAACGCCAAAAATCTGAGCGTAGGTGATGGGACAGAAGAAGAGAGAGTCCCTCTTGCTGCAGAGGCAGGCGAACGGGATGAACTGGAAGCTGTAAATGGTCAGGCTATAGACGCTAGAGAACGTGCAAATAGCTGGTCTATGGACGACAGGGAAGATGGTGCTGCCGATCTACGAGAGGAGAAAGACAAAATTGAGGAGAGAGAGGCAGTACGACGGATGGGTAGGAGGGAAGATGGCGATGCAGCGGTAAGTACTGCTCCTGCGGCGGTTGCCGCTGCTGCTGCTACTTCAGTCGAAGACACACGTGGGAGAGAGGAGGAGGAGGAGGAGGAGGAGGAGGGGGGGGGTAGCTTTGTAGTTGCTGGACAAGAAGGACAGCATAGGACTCCTCAGATGGGAGAGGAGGATAGCGAAGAGGATGCAATGATTGGCAACTTGAAGATGTCTGTTGTGTGCGATCGGCTAATCGAGGTGTTCTTGAATGAAAGAACAACGCCCGATGAATGGAGAAAGCTTTTGGCGTTTAGCGATGAGTGGGGAAACATTAGGCCGCATTTCTACAAGAGGTGCAAGGTCCGGGCAGCGGAGGAAGAGAGTATCGAGCTCAAGACGTCTTATTTGAGACTTGCAAGGCGATTGGAGAAGGTGGACCAGGACATGCAGAGACATGATGATCTCTTGCATGCCATCCAGGAGAGCGAGGGTGAGCTTGACGCTCTGGTCCTTCGGCGTAGGAAGGACTTCACGTCTGACTTCTTCAAACACATGAAGCTTGTAGCAGAAACCTACTATGATGATCTGACCAAGCAGGACGAGATGACGTCATTAGCGACAAAGGTATTGTCGGCAGTGGAGAATCACGACAGAATGGAACAGGATCAGAATGCCATGGTGGAAGCGCAGGAGAAGTTCGATGACATATTGAACTCGCCGAATCTGGAAATGGCCAAGGCGAAAATTGACAATCTGGCGGCAAACAAGCAGCTCGATCCGGCTCTTATGATGCTGATAACGAAGGCCTGGGTAGCAGCGAAAGAATCCAACATGATGAAGGAAGAGGTGAAGGACATAATGTACCATCTATACATGCAGGCGCGTGGCAACTTGCAGAGAAACCTTCCCACAGAGGTGCGGATCTTGAGGCACTTGTTGTCACTTGAAGACCCGCGAGAGCGGATGGCGGCCATGACCGAAGCCTTCTCTCCTGGTGACGAATTACAGGGGGAGAAGGTAGATATGCTGTACACAACACCTCAGAGGCTTCATCGCTATGTGGCAGCTGTTCTTGGTGCCTATGAACACCCACGCAGCAATCCTGTGTTCCAGGCTGCCAAGGACATGATGAAGCCAATGATCATCCAGCGGTTGCAGGTCATGAAAGATATCCTGGAAGATCAATTCCTATAATGCCCCCGTTGTCCAGTCCAATCTCTGTGATCATCGTGCTAGTAAGAAGTGGGGAGGAAGGAGATTAGATAGTCGATATGTATGTCATCAGCTTTAATGCTTACGTTCTCCAGTCCAATCTCTGTTATCATCTTATGGTTCAGCAGCCTGATTCTCTTGCTTGCTGCATGGGTAGTACAGTCGTGCTTTCTCTGATTGACATACGAGGCAAAGCTGATGGAGCGAGCGCTGTCTCCAAAGGGTTTGCCTGTTATCCCCTTTGTGCTGTGGTAGTCAATAGTATCTATCACCATCATCATGCAATCTAGCCTGCGGTTGTGCCTTCCCTTTCCCCTCCCCATGGACCAGGTGCTGAAGGATCGCTCCCGTCTGGCACACTGCGATGGGATCGCGGCCTGGTCCATCCTCATCGACGATAGCGGGAGTCCTGCCGCCGGGATTGATCTTCTTACACGAACTCAGAGAACTGCTGGCCACGAAATTCCTCCCGTGGTTCACTGTGTACTACCCCAGCCTCTCTAAAAGTACTACATAGTCATCGCCACCTTGTGAGCATTTGGAGCGGTAGGTGACGTCAACGCCTTGGTGTGTGTGGTGTGTGCCATTCTTCCTCGTCACAGCGGCGATGGTGGACACGTGTCGGACGTCACACACCCTCCCCTCATACAGTACGCAGGGAGGACGACGATGATGGAGGGACGTCGTGGGTGGAGTATAGAGGCGAAGGAGCGAGGAGGGAGGAGGCAGGAGGACGATGGAGGGAGGGTGGAGGATGGAGGGAGGAGGGAGCATGGAGGGAGGAGGGAGGAAGGAGGGGGGAGGAAGGCGAGGATAGAGGAGGGAGGAAGGAGGGAGGAGAATGACGACGATGGATGGAGGAGGAGGGAGGAGAATGACGACGATGGATGGAGGATTAGGGAGGACGAAGGGAGGAGGAGGAGGGAGGGTGGACTTTTCTGCATCTCCGCTATGGAACCGATTGAATCTGGACGTGATTGTGGAGAGGTGCAGAAAACCACATCCACTCGATCGATCCTCTTTCCTATTCTCACTACGCCCCTGGAAACGATGTCCATCCTGCCAGAATAGGAAAACACAGGCCAAAGAAAAAAAGAGAAAAACAGGAAGGCAAGGAAAATAAAAAGGCTGATGTCATCCTGCTATGGAGGAAGACGGAACCGCTGACCTGTACCAGATGACGGGCTCACGGACTCTATCAATCGATGAATCATCGGTCAATCAATGAGGGCAGAGGAGGAGGGAGGATGCCTATGACGCTTACGCTGAGAGTGAGGAGAAGCCTTAGGGAGGATGGAGGGGGTAGGAGGAGGAAAGTGGGGCAAGCGGATTGTGAATTATAAGCAACTGGGAGAGCACGAAGAAGAAATGATATGACCAGCAAGTACGCGGGGGAGCAGGAGTAGGGGAAAGATGAAAGTCAGGGCAGGTGGAAAGATGAAAGTCAGGGCCGGTCGATCAGAAAAGGGGCAACTTGGCGGAGGGGAGAAAGAGTAGGGGAAAGGTGAAAGTCAGGGAAGGTGGAAAGATGAAAGTCAGGGCCGGTCGATCAGAAAAAAGGGCAACGTGGCGGAGGGGAGAAAGAGCTGCAATCGCTCAGTGGAACGTACTGGAGGAGGAAGCAGGGGGAGAGAAGAGATGGTCGGAAAGGAGGGCGAGCGGGTGTGAAAGCAAACAAGAAAAGGTTGCTGGACAGTCGCGTCTCCTTCTCTGACATGACTGTAAGACAGATCGACGGACAGCAAGACAGAATCTTAAAGAGGAGAGGAGGAGAGAGAGAGAGAGAGAGAGAGAGAGAGAGAGAGAGAGAGAGAGAGAGAGAGAGAGAGAGAGAGAGAGNNNGAGAGAGAGAGAGAGAGAGAGAGAGAGAGAGAGAGAGAGAGAGAGAGAGAGAGAGAGAGAGAGAGAGAGAGAGAGGGGGTAGGTCGAAATGTTGAGGGTACTGATGACGTGGCGCCTTTGGCCCAGTCACAAGTTTTCTGGTTCGTTGTTCTTTTTGCCCCGGTCATGGTCGTTCTTGCGTTCTGGAGAATATATATATATATAGCGACTGTCTATGCACTTGATGACCCGAATGAAAGGTATCGATTCATTAGAGTTCTTCCTTACTGTCTCCCCAGTGAAGATCACATGATCAATGGGGGAGACTGGAATCTAGTGTGCAGTCCTGACTAGATTCGGAAACAGTAGACTCGCTAAAAAATGATAGAGAGGCGATTCTCACATGGAAGGAGAGATGGAGACTAACAGACATGTTCAGAGAAACCCATCCAACAGAACCGGGGCAGGGCAGCCGCCGCTCAACCTACATCCACGTGGGCGGCCTTGTACGCAAGAGGAGGTTCTGAACAGGGGCAGTTGTAAGAAAGAAGATTAAAAATGAATAAAGTTTTTCTTGTTTTCTTCTGTTTTTTCCCCCTTTGCGCTCTGATATTCATGTTACGATATATGAATATAGAAAGAGAGAGAGAGAGAGAGAGAGAGAGAGGCCGAAATTTGGGGGGCACTGCTGACGTGGTGCCTTTGACACCGTCAAAGTTTTGGTATGTTTTTCTTTGTTTTTCCCCCGGACATTATCGGTCTGAAAGTCATCGGGGCCTTTTCCCCCTGGTCCCAGTCCCAGTTCCCAGTCCCAGTTCCCAGTTGCATTGTCGGTTTCAGTCACTTGTGTGCAATATTCACGAATGCATTTAGGTGGTTTGCTTTTACGTAGGCCGTGCTAGGTTAGCTTTAAGTAGGCCGTCGTAGGAAGGTTATGGGATGCCACAGTTCTTCTATGTATTGGAAAGAGTCCGTAAGAGGCCATAGACCACCTTCTTCCCCCGAATACAACGTACGGTCATTATAGCTGTGTATGTAGACTGAAAGATGCCTCAAATACAGATATAAGCTGTGTATGTAGACTGAAAGATGCCTCAAATACAGATATGATGACCGTACGTTGTATTCGGGGGAAGAAGGCAGTCGTCAAGGCAGCAGCACAGTCACATGAAAGCCCGAAACTTTGGAGGGTACAAATATAGGGCAGGGTAGCGGACCCATAACCGGTAGCAACAGTCCCAGGAAAGCCAGAAACTTTGAAGCCTTACTGTGGAGTAGAAAAGGCCAGCTGGAAGCGCAGCTGCGTTGACTGCTTCCACATACTCACTTGCGCGTGCATGTGGAAGCGCAGCTGCGCTGCGAAGTGTACGGCAGTGTACGGCAGTGTACGGCTTGGAGATATCGCTGCTTGTGCTGTTGCATGGACTGTGGCTGGTAGTAGTAGTCTGTGGCACCGGGTATCGTCAGAGAGTAGCCAAAGATAGGTCTATCGTCTTCGCCCGAACATAATGCACGCTGAAAAGGAATGTATACAAGGTATGTTTTCGGCCAGATAGAGTCAGAATGAAGGTGCGTTGTGTTCGGGGGAAGACGGTAGTGTGTGGTTGTGAGAGAGAGACTTGAGAGGTATTCGGAGAGAGAGACCTTGGTGAGGGAGAGGGAAGTGAGGCTGCAGGGGAGAACGGCCATTTTCTGAGAGAGTGTGCTGGTGGCCATAGCTGCACCTTCTTGTATAAAGACAATTCTGTGTAACTGAGTTGATTGACAGATACTATCTTTGAGGTTCATCTCACCTGTGCTTTGATGTGGTTGTGTCATCTGGTCCTGTGCATGGAGGGAGAATGTGGTGGATGGTCGGTCTCAAAGCAGTTCTCGCATCTGTGAAGGATACTACATATATGCATGCACACACACACACACACACACACACACACACCTGTCTCTTATACACATCTAGATGTGTATAAGAGA